ACTCACTTTTTGGTGTTTTTTTAACCATATGTATGGAAGTAAATCTGTGTCGCTGGGATTTGAATTACAAATGCCACTGAAATTTAAATGTTATATGTTTGTACTTACTGTTTCAGTGTTAAAATATATTCGGAACACATTTTTGACCTTAAAAAAAATTAATTCTCATTATTTCTACACAGTTGAAATTTAATTTGTCTTCCGTCTGCCCTCTAACTGAACGGTGAGTTTATTACTTTCATTTTTCTGCAGTTGAGTTAGCGTTAGCTTGCATGACCGGCTCCGTCATGCTGCTTTTCCTTCCGTATGAGCGCCGCAAGCGTCACGTCACGTGACTAAGAAAACGTAACGGGATTGGCTGGGTGTTGGATGCCACAATCCATTGCTAATGTCTGTGACCTGAAGTAACCCTTCTCTTTTTACACTGAATTTAGACGCCGAATTTATGACAATGAAATAGAGCCAGTTGAATCTCAGGAGGCTGAAAATATTGAGTTTGAATTTTGAAAGGTTGAATTTTTTGATATCCAGCTTTTTTTTAACACTGAAAAATTTAACTGAAAAATAAGTATTGAAAATGTAATCACTTTGAAATAGTAATGTGAATTTTTAGCTTGAAGAGAAAATAACAAATGAAATTTCAACTGTGTAGAAATAATGACAATACATTTTTTTAGGTCAAAAATGTTTTCTGAATATATTTTAACACTGAAACAGTAAGTACAAACATACAACATTTAAATTTCAGTGGCATTTTTAATTCAACTCCCAGCGACACAGATTTACTTCAATACATATGGCGATCTCACCTTCAATTGTTTTCTCTTTTGTACATGACTAGAGGGATACGTGCCCGTTGAGGTATTTTAAAGTCTATTTTTCCTACAAAATTAAAGGGATAAATACAAATCTGAGGTTTTGTGCATGCATATTGACTATGGGTATGCTGTTCTGACAAGGTATGCTGATCTGACAGAACACCGGTACAAACTTAGAGGAAACTGGAGTGCCATTATTATTGTCATATATCGCAATGCACAAATTATTTGTAACAAATTATCAATTTGAAAATTTTAATTCAACTAACAGGTTAAATACCTTCCCTAGATAGAAATCTTTGAACCGATCTGTATGATCTGGCTGAATTGTCTCTGTAAAGTGCCTTGGGATGACATATGTTGTAAATTGGGACTATATAAATAAACAGGATAAAAGAAATGATAATAAAATAAGACAATTTTAAAATGTCTATATTGGTCCACACTAGAGACTGACATGGGAGTGGATTTTCACTCCTGTCCCGTCCCACTCCCACAGAAAAAAATCCTGTCCCGTCCCGATCCCGGGCCAGAGTAGAAATCTAAATCCTGTCCCGTCCCACTCCTGGTGAAATTACTCCCACTCCCATCCAGAATGACTCCTGCTCCTGCACCACTCCCATTCTGGTTGTCTTCAATAAGATTTCTGCCAATACATTGAACCTGAATTTCTTTTCAGCGCGGCTGAAAAACTCAGGGCGGAAGCACTGTTGGTTTTTGGGTCGTGTAGTTTTTTTGACTCGCGTTATAGTGTAGGCTTCAAGGAGAAAGTCTA